ACCTGAGGAAGCAGCCTCTCCCGTGCCACCTCTAGGGTTCATAAATCTGCCATGCACTGCACTGTGGCTTCATTACCGCTGCCTCTGGCATTTCCTGTAACCCCTCCCTTCTCCCCAGTGATCTCCCTGTTTCGTGCCAACTATAATAAAAATAAATTTAAAATAAATAAGAAAAACATCAAGTCAAGTGATATTCAAAAAAAAATATAAAGCTACTTTCCTACTATTGGAAGTAACTATTGTATAAAGTTCTTGCTCTGAAAATTGGTATTATTGGGGAATGAATTAGGCTTTTACCTCACCTTCTTGGTTCATATCATATAGATGAGAAAAAGCTTATCTTCACCGAAAAAAATGCCAGCTAAGAAACAAAGAATGGATGGCAGAATTAGGAAATTACCATTCTCTTTTTGTTTTTGTTTGCTTTTTTCCCAGCGGTACCAGCAGCCACCATATTGCAGGGCGTGCGCTGGCCAGGAAATTACCATTTTGAAATTCCCAACTAAATCATCAAGTCAGGAAATACAGTCTAAAAATTAGAAAAAACAATTACTGAGTCAGGAGACTATAATCAATGAATGTTAAAATCTTCAGGTGAGAGGTTATTGGGGAACAGGACAGTTTACATGGTACCAAAGTACCACTCCACAGATTTCTTGTTAATTATAAAGAGAAAATTACATAGAGAGTTCTGTGGTCCATCATCTTAACCATCACTTTAAACAGGAGTGGACAACAATATTACGTGCCTCCAGTAATATACGTGATGTGACATAAAATACATTGCATGTCTTATGGGCATTCTTGTCAAAAATGATTTAATAAGAATCTAATCAAGTCTCTAGATCCAAAAATTTCCAGTTTACAGGAAATCTGAGGGCTGGAGGAAGGAGCTAAGGATTTATGACTGTAAGCATAGAAACCATCCTGGTTTTCCCAGGACTGAGGGGTATCCTGGGATGCAGAATCAGTGCTAGAACCAGGAATGGCCCAGGCAAACCAGGAATGTTGGTCACACTACATTCAGACAGATTCCTAATGTGGAGCAGAACTGGTCTCTGAAAGTCAGTATAATTTTAAAAAGTATGGAGACTATTCTAGACTAATAGGCTAAAAAGGATGGGGGATGGGCAAAAAAGAGGAAGGGATTAAGAAGTATAAGCTACCAGCTATAAAATTAGTCTGGGGATGTAAAGTACAGCATAGGGAATATAGTCAATAATACTGTAATAACTATATACAATATGTTGCCAGGTAGGTACTGGAAATATCGGGGGAACACAATGTAATGTATATGGCTGTCTAACCACTATGTTGTACACCCAAAATACAAAATAATATTGAATGTAAAGTATAATTGAAAAAAAAAATTTAAAGTCACTAGTTATAAGGATGTTCAATGAACGCAGGGGAAGAATAGGCTGACTCAGTGAGAACGTCAAAAAAGAGATAGGGAACATAAAATTGGAGATATAAAACATAAAAAAGGACCAGTCATAAATGAAGAAAACAATAACTTAAATGAAAAATACACTAGAAGAAATCAACAGTAGATCAGTTGAAACAGAGGGTGGAATCATGGATTTGGAAGATAAAGTAGCAGAAAACATCCAATCACAATAGCAAAAAAAAAAAAAAAAACAAAAAAAACCTCTAATTAAAAATAAAATTAGCTCTGGCCTGGCTGGAGCATCATCCCATACACCAAAAGGTTATGGGTTTCATCCCCAGTCAGGGCATATTCCTAAGGTGTAGGTTCGATCCCCAATCGGGGCATGCACAAGAGGCAACTGATCAATGTTCCTCTCTCTCTCTCTCTCAACTCTCTCTCCCCCTCCTTCCTTGCCTCTCTTAAATCAATAAACATATCCTCAAATGAGGATTAAAAATATACATAATTAAATAAATAAGTAAATAAACAAGAGACTAAAGGGACACCACATTCAAATGCAACATGTGAACTGGAATCAAATAACATTTAGGGGACAGCTGGGGAAATCTGAACATAGAGCAGTGCTACTCAGCCAGCCCATCAGTGTAAATGAATTATGTCACTAGGTACATTAATTTGGCTGACATTTTTATGGTAACAAGACTTACTCAATGAAGGATGCCATGCACCATTACACACTCTGGTGCAAGCTCATTATCTCTCTGTGAGCCAGCAAGCAATATGTGGACCACACTTCAGGAAGCACTGGAGTATATATAGATCATATTCATGAAGATAAGTGAGGTACTGTTATGTTTTTTAAGCAGGGTTTATGGTATTTTGGTTATGTAGAAAAATGTCCTTATGCTTAGAAGATGCATGCTGTGGTATTTAAAGGTGAAGCGTTACAATGTCTAGAGCTCATTTCCAAATGAAATTGAAGTGTTACAATGTAGATTTATCAAAGAACATACACACAAATACAAAGAAAATGTACAAAATGTTAACATTTGTTGAACCTTGGTGATAGATATACTAGTGTTCATTGTACTATTCTTTCAACTTTCTTGTGTGTTTGAAAGGTTTCATGATAAAAACAAAGGAAGCAAAATGAAACAGGGAAGAATTTCTGTTTGAAACTGGGAACAAAGACCACAGGCTTTTTGCCATGTAACATTCAAACTAGCCCCAAGTGAGATTTCCTTTTTTATTGGTAAATTGTTTTCTATTTTTTTAGTTGAAGTAACATTAGTTTATGCCATTAAGTTCCAGGTGTACAACATTATAATTCGACATGAAGTTTTCTGACAGCCTAAATGAGTGATTTAACGCTGTTTGGATTTTGTATTGATTTTTAATGTGCTGTCTCATTTTTTAAAAATAGAGAAAAGTAAGGAATACTTAGAAGGTTTGTCTGTGTCAAATAGCTAATAGTTTAATAATTCAGATGGAAATATGCACATTAAAATGTCACCATTGACAGCCAAAAAAATAATGAAGCATGATTCTAAAACCATCTGACTTAAAAGGTATAACACTGACAGACTTATCAGGAAGCTGCTTATCAACAGCCAATTCTATATTTATTCAGTTGATATCCCTTGGTGAACATCTAAATTAAAAACAGAAAGATGACTAGAATTAGCCAGAAGAGGTAAGGAAAAGCATATTCCAAGCTGAGGAAGCAGAATGTGAAAAGGGCCAGAATGGGGAAAAGTTGTTTTTCAGGGAAAGGAATTCAATGTGTATAGAAATGAGGCTATCTGATTATGAAGAGGATTTAAGGGTGCATCAAGAATTTCAGACTTTAGCCCTGGCTGGTGTGGCTCAGTGGATTGAGTGCTGGCCTGTGAACCAAAGGGTTGTTGGTTTGATTCCAACTCAGGGCACATGCCTGGGTTGCAGGCCAGGTCCTCAGTAGGGGGCACACGAGAGGCAACCACCCACTGATGTTTCTTTTTCTCCTCTCCTCCTGCTCTCTCTAAAAATAAATAAATAAAATCTTTAAATGAAAGAACTTGGGACTTTATTTTAAAAGCAATAAAAAGCCAATGTGAGATGAATATTAAGAATTGGAGAAACACAATGAGATTGGCATTTTAGAAAACTCACTCTGGTTGTAGGTAATGAAATGGATTGGAGCCAGAGTGGAGAGAGCAGCAGCAGTTCGGAAGATGGCCTTTTCAATAATAATCAGGTGAGATTATGGTAACCTGCAGGGATGGAGACTCTGTGATACACTAGATGTTGGTGGGGGTATAGAAGATCAGGACTCAGAATTCCCAGGCTTCTGGCTTGAGTGACTGCGTAGATTGGTATATTCATCCAGATTGGAAATATGAGAGCAAGAACAGATTTGGAGAAAAGATGTAAAACATTCAGCATGAGATATGTTGAGTTTGGAATACCAAACTAGGAGCTAGAATATATCCAGTTGGAATAAACCTTGTAGGCAGTTGGATACAGGAATGAGAAAGATAACTCTGGGTCCAACTTAGATAACTAATAGATGGGATTGCCACTTACAGATAAGGGGAAAAAAGGAAGAGAAAATAACAATCACTTTACATTTAAATATTTTAAGTTATGAAGTAACCCCATTACAGAAAATGAAATATAGAGAAATGGAAATAAAATCTATGTAGCTACCATGTATCAACACTTCCTATTATTTTCTCTAATATTTTTAAATGGATATTTATATATTAGCTTTAGTAAACTGTTTTTCTGAGAAGGAGGCTTCTCTAGAAGTATTTAGGATTGAGAAGAATTTAAAATACTAATTGGCATGATATAATTTTGTATATCAGACAGTGTTTGCTAAGTTACACATCCTGAGGCTATTAAAAGTTTGAGAACAATCTAAACTGTTGTGTAAGTATCCAAGAACAACTACAGAGTTGAATAAAGTAATCATGTACCAGAGAATGTCTGTTTCAATATACAGTTTAATATAACATATACTGGATCTTTAGGGGGTTCTGGACCTTTCTGCCACCATACTACACAGCAAAATTATAGGTAGTCTCTTCTCTGAAGATCTCCTTTCCCATAGGATCTCTACTCTGACCAATTCTCCCTCCACAGGTGAGAACTAATTGGTGCTATTGCTCCTAGGAGTAACCAGATTTTTAAAGGGTATTGTAGAAGCCTCAAAGCCTAGAAAATTCAAACAGATGAAGCTCTACTGAGTTCATGCAATCACTCTGCAATCACTTTATTGCTTAATCTGCTTTTTTAAAAAAAAAAAAAAAGGCTAGACCTTTTTCTAGTTCTAATTCTTGGCTACCTCATGACCACAAAACATATCTTACAAAGTCTCTGGGCAAATACAGAGACCAGAGGCAATGTGAAATTATTATCAGCTGCTGAGAAAAGCTTAGTTGTCACCACACTACAGGCAGAGTCAGACAGAGGAAACGAGACTAGAAACTAGGACCAAGGGAACCTGACAGGTTGGTAACAGAAGGAAGGAGCAATCCAGTCCAGAAACAGGGCCAAGGAGTGGTTACAGAAAACACATATGAGGTCAAGGGAACCTGAAAACTAAGGTTATGGATCTGGCCCATGTAGGAAGGCCTACTATATTCTTCCTGCTCATGATCCAAAGATCGGTTTCCCCAGCAATGCTCTCAGGATCTGGAATGTAACAATGTGCCCAACCTGGAAATTAATGAAATTTCAGCCTTAAAAAAGAGCCTACTGTCTTGTAGCAGGCTGATTATTGAGGAAAGAACACCAGCTCGCTGTGTGGGGTATGGGGGAACAGATCCACAGGCACAGCTTGTCTCAGCACAAAAGGCTCACCAAGAAGCTTCTTAGCTGAATTTCCTGTAAAAAAAAAAATATCATAACATCAGTTCCTCGAAACCAAGAACCTCCAGGAACACAATTTCTTACATTTTAGGCCCTGCCTCTGTGTTCCCACAGCCCCCTGTGTTTCTTCCTTTAACAGCATTTATCATAGTTAATGTAACTACCTGTTTATTTAACCATCTTCCTCACTGGAGTATAATCTTTTTGAAGGTATAAATGAGACAAAACCTGCTTATTATTCATCTCTGTGTTCCCATTGTATGACACAGAGTAGGGGTTTGATAGTGAATGGAGCAAGGGAAATAGGTCACACTTTTCTGTATGATTTGCACACAATAGGTAATTAATAAATAATATTATTGAATTAAATTATTCTATTAAAATGTTTCAAAGTAGATTATCTTTTTCACTTATTTCAAAGGCAGTCAAGCAAAAATGAAAACAGCAATTTACCTATAACTCACCATTCAGAGGAAAACCACTGCTAATTTTCAGAATATATCTTTCCAAAAGTGTATATTTAAATTGGTTTCTTAAAATGGAGTCACACTGTGTACATTGTACATACTGCTTTACAACCAGTTTCTTCAGTTAATAATACATTATGAGCATTTCCTCACTACATTATGTGTATAGCTTTTATTGGCTATATAGTATTTCATTAAGTAAATGGAACACAATTTAGTTAACTAATTACTTGCTATTGGAAATTTAAGCTGTTTCTATCTTTTGGTTATTTCAAAGAGTCCCTTCATAAATATTCTTATAGTTATATATTTCCACACATTTTAATTATTTAGTATAACTGCTGAGTTGAAGGGACTATATGTTTTTAAGGCCCTAATAAATGTACCATTAAATTGTTCCATAAAGGTTGTAACAAGTTACACTCAAACCAACAAAGCAGAATAGTTATTTCCCTGGCTAGCAACCAATAGTTTAAATAGCACTGTCCCATTAAAATAAGGATCAATTTTTTTAAGGTTGTTACTTTTATAATGTTATTAACAAATATTACCTCAATAAATTTAATTTTAAAAAGTGAACTCTAAGGTAAACTTTGGACTTTAGTTAATAATAATGTAGCAATATTGATTTATATAATTTTATCAAATGTAACCACCAATGTGGAGGAACTGTGGCATAGTGGGGGGAATATATGGGAATTATTTTGCACTTTTTGCTTAGTTTATCTGTAAATCTAAGACTACTGTAAAAATAAAGCCTATTGATTTACAAAAAGTAAAAGAAAAACTTTAAAAATCAGGAACAAAACAAGATTTTCACTGTCACTCCTACAATAGAATGTTTGTTTTATCCAATATGATAAGGAAAAAAATCAGAAGAAAATAAAACTGTTTTTATATTGTAATCATATGACCAGCTACCAAGAAAATGCAAGAGAATCAACTGGAAAAAAAAATAAACCTAATAAAATAGTAAGGTAGCCAGACATAAGATTGACAATAATCAGTCAGAAAATGTCATGAAGCCCTGACAGGTGTGGCTCAGTTGGTTGGACGTCATTCTGCAAAGTGAAAGGTCACTGGTTCAATTTCCGGTCAGGGCACATACCAGGGTTGCAGGTTTGGTCCCAGGTCAAAGTGTGTGTGAGAGGCAACCAGTGAATGTTTCTTTCTCTCTCTCTCTCTCCCTCCCCCATCTCTAAAGGTGGATAAATAAAATCTTAAAAAAGAAAATATCATGAAGAGGTCCCATTTATAATAGCAATAAAAGCTTTACAATATCTTATATTAACCTTAAAAGAAAGACCAATATTGGAAATTATATATATGTACATACGTGTATGTATCTCTAGAGAATTTTACATAAAACTAGAGTAACTGAAGAAATGTACCACATATCTAGACAGAAAAAAAAATATTGTAAAGATTTCAATTCTCCCTAAATTAAATAATAAATTCAGTATACTTTTAATCACAATCCCAAAAGACTATTTTTGATAAGTTGATTCTAGAGCTCTTAGAAAATACATGGACATGTTAAAAGCATATATATCCCTTAACCCAGCAATTCCATATCAGGGATTCACCTAATATATATACTATCACATACAGTTATTCATCACATATAAATAACATTGCACATATGTGCAAATATATATGTATAAGGATATTGACAACAAAACTGCTGTAACAATAGAGTACAAACAACGTTAAAACTCATTAGTATGGGCCTAATAAAATGACATTTATGAGGAGAATGTTTACAAGCAATTTCATTATTTTAGATCTGGAACTTGGTTTTGTTTTTTAATAGTGAAAAGAATGGGAGGGAGAAACAAGATGGCGGAGCAGTGAGTGGTAGTCACACTGACCTCCTCCCAGGAACAACCTGAAATTACAACTAAATTGTGGAGAAATCACCTGGAACAAACAAGTGAACAATAGCGAGATAGAAGCCTTATAACCTCAGAGACAGAAGAATTGGTTTGAGAGCAATCTAACTGGTAAGGAGTGCAGTATAGATTCGAGAAGGCGGGCGGGGCACCCACAGGTGGCAGCACCAGAAGGATATTGAAAGGGCCAGTTGGATGCACCAGAGAAGAGCATGGTCTAAACCAAAAGCACGGATCTCTAGCCCAAAAACCAGAGCCCAAAAAAGTACACAGAAAACAGCCAACTGCAAAAACGGGCAGGGTTGTTCTCTGCCAGACACAGGCAGCTGGAGATGCAAAGGATCATTTAAAGGGCCATTTACAGAGCCAACACATTAATTTGTATTTGCAGCCACTTACCCTGGTCTCTGGCAAAGTCAGGGGCAGAGTAGGCTTAAGACACCTCAGGAGAGACTGTGGAAGGAAGCTTTGGGGAGAGAACTGAGAGAGTAGCTGGTGGGATCTCGGTGCTGATTCATCCCCCATGCAGCAGCAGCCATCTTGCTCAGGCAGAGACCACTCTCCCTGAGCAGCACCAGCATCAGCAGACCCAATAGCCCCTCCCCCAAGTAGGACTCCACCCCGCCCTGTGCTGTGTAAGCCATCTGCTGAGTGCAAAGTGGCAGGAAAAGACAGCAGATCCCTGGCTAAAGGGGGCACAGAGAGGTCTGGAAACAATTGAGGAGAGACTGGGGATGGAGGCTTTGGGGAGAGAACAGAGAGAGTAGCTGTCAGGATCCTAGTGCAGACTCCTCCCCAATAGGGTAGCAGCATGGGAGGACCCAATAACCCCGCCCCTAGGAGGGACTCAGCCCTGCCCTGAGCTGTCTAAGGGGGCCTGCTGAGTGCAGAGTTACTAGATTAACAGCTGAAGGAGACAGCCATAAACAGTAGATTCCTGGAAGTCTCAGACAGACTACCTAACGTCAAACAAGGATGACATCTGACATCATCAGAGGCAGGTCCAGAAATTAAAAACAGCACTCTGCAACCATAGAAGTTCATACCACAAAGAGATGAAATCAAGACACATCAATTTAAGAAGCAGAAGCAAAAGAGAAGGGTCTCACAAATAATGGGAAGACAAAGAAATATCCCCCACTAGAAGGGAAAGGAGGAATCCCCACAAGGACAACTAAATAAAATAGAGGTAAGACAACTATCAGTTACTGAGTTCCAAACAAGGGTTCTAAGGAAGCTCAGTGAGCTCAGTGAGCTCAGAGAAAATTACAAAAAACTACAGGGAAACTACGAGGAACTTACTGCAAATGATATCTGCATGAAAAAGGACATAGAAACTATCAATAACAGAGAAGAAGAAATGAAGAATACGATTTCTGAATTGAAGAACACAGTAGAAGGAATCCAAAGGAGGCTAGATGAAGCTGAGGACCGAGTTAGCAAGTTGGAGGACAATATAGAAAAAAGCTCCCAGAAAGAGCAAGAAAATGAAAAAAGACTCAAAAAGAATGAAGGGGCATTGAGGGAAATGCAGGACAACCTGAAACGTAATAATATCCATATAATAGGGATACCAGAAGGAGAAGAGGATGAGGAAAGGATAGAGAACCTGTTTGAAAAAGTAATGATGGAAAACTTACTTCATTTAAGGAGAGAAAAAGTCACACAAGTCCAGGAAGCACATAGGGTCCCACTCAAGAGAAACCCAGTGAGGCCCACTCCAAGACACATCATCATGAAAATGGCAAATATCAAAGACAAACAGAGAACCATAAAGGAAGCGAGGCAGAAAGAGGTAGTAACATATAAGGGAGCCCTAATATGTCTAGAAGCTGACTTCCCAACAGAAACACTGCAAGCCAGAAGGGAATGGCAAAAAAAATATCCCAAGTCATGAAAAGCAAAGGTGTGCAGCCAAGACTGCTCTACCCGGCAAGGCTCTCAATAAAAATGGAAGGCGAAATAAGGAGTTTTCCAGACAAGAGAAGGCTAAAAGAATATACCTCCACCACACCAGCACTGCAAAATATGCTAAAGGGACTGCTTTAAAATGAAGAAAATGTTTCTATGAATACCCAGTTCCTTTCAGAGTTGCCAATACTTGATATCACCAATATTTTTAATACTCATTAATCTTATTGTGACAATTATGTTATTTTAATTGTTCCTTTGTTATTTGTTGAAATTAAACCTGTTTTTGTATATTTCTTGCCTGTTTGTATTATTTTTGAAAAAGCTTTAAATGACTTTCTGGTATTCTTTACCCATTTTTGGATTAAATGTTTGTAGAAACCCCCCCAAAAAAACCTATTAACCATGTTTTAGATGTGTTGCAAATGTTTTCCTATTCTATTCCTTGTCCTTTAACTTTTTTAATATGTATATTACTATATAGTCTTAAATGTTTAATATAGTCATATTGTCAATATTTAACTTTATACCTTCTGGGTTTGAATATTTTACTGCAGGTCATGGAAAATATTAGTTCTATTTTCTTCTAAAATTCTTTAGGTTCTACATATTGGTTTTTAACTCACCTGAATATTTCTTTTATAATGTGTGAAATAGGGCTCTATATTTGTTTTATTTCATGTAATAGTGGGCCATGCACCTTATTTGTTGAATAAGCCTTATTTTACCCATTATTTGAAATATCAACTTAATCATATATTATATTGTTAGACAGATATATACATTTGTCTCTATAATGCTCATTTTATTTCATTGATCTACCTGATTATTTCTGTGCTGATGTCATGCTGGTTTAATTGCTGAGGCCTTATAATGGTTTTAAATTTTTTTAATATTTTATAATTAACTTTGACATTTAAAACATAAATAAAATCAATCTGCATTTAAGAAAGAAAGAAAGAGAAAGAGAGATGGAACTGCTACCTTTTGTGACAACATGGATGGAACTGGAGAACATTAAGCTAAATGACATAAGCCAGTTGATGAAAGACAAATACCATATGATCTCACATATAAGTGGGCTCTATTCAACAAAATAAACTAACAAAGAAAGTAAACCACAGGCATGGAAACATAGAGCAGACTGAAAGTGACCAGAGGGGATGGGGAAAGAGGACAATGGTGGAAAGAAGGGGAAGGGACTAGACAAAGAACATGTATGAATGACCTATGGACATGGACAACAGAGTGGGAATTGACTGTGGGAATGGGGCATGAGAGTGGGATGGGTGGAGGGAGGTAAAGTGGTAAAAATTGAGACAACTCTAATAGAATAAACATGATTTATAAATTTATAAAAAAATAAAAATATAAAAAAAGAAAAAAAGAATGGTATAGTACAAGGATAGTTCTGGAAAATACTGTGAATTTTACTTTAAAATGAGAATCTAGTGTTTCTGTATTTTATTCTTTTCAATAAAATTTCCTGCGTGTGTTGGACTTTTTGAGAAAAAACACTATATAGTCCATTTAAAAAATCAAGTAGGCTTAAAAGCATTAATGCAGATTCTACATCATCGTAGGCCAATCTCCAAAATCTATTGTTGACTGAAAAGCATGGTGCACAACAGTGTTAATAGTCTGTTTGTATTTTATTGTATTTTAATAGTCTGTGTGTGATATGTACACACACATGTACATGTGTACACACACACTTGTATAGTCACAGAATATCTCTGGCAGGCTACACAAGAACCGGGTTAAGAGTGGTGAAATCTGAAGGACTAGGGGTCAGGAATAAGAAGGAGACTCATTATGTACTGCTCACTCTTGTTCTGTTTGTATTTTTTCTACCGTATGCATATACTGTCTTGTCAAAATAAATATTATTGCCTTTTTGAGGAAACATATTGCATGTTTACTGTTTCATGCAGTATGAATGTTAGAATCCTAGGTTTACTCTTGTTTTGCATAATGAATATTTTCATTTTTTTCTAAAATGAAGTAACATAAAAAGGTATATGGTGAATCTCCTTCCCACCTGTGACTCCCACCTCTGCAGTTTTCCACTACCAGAGATAACTACTGTCATCAGTTTCTTATATAACTTAACAGTTTCTCTATAGCTATACAAAAATCTATATTCTCATCCTTTGTACTTTTTTTTGCAAAGATAGTTTACTAAAATATAAACAATTTTTGTACACTTGGCTATTTCCACTTAGTTATATACCTTAGAACCAAAATCACAAGCCACAGAAGAAAAAAGTAGTCTGGACATATTCAAAATTAAATATTCTTGGGCTTCAAAGGACACCGTCAAGAAAGTGAACAGACAACCCACAGAATGGGAGAAAATATTTGCAAATTATTTATCTGATAAGGGACTGGTAACTAGAAGCCAGACACGAAAGGTCACATACCATAGGATTCCATTTATGGGAAATGTTCAGACTAGACAATTCAGTGGAGACAGAAAGTAGATTTGTAGTTGCTTAGAGCTGAGGATGTGGGGTTTGGGGAGAAATGGAGTGCCTGATGTCTTCTTGTGTTAATGAATATGTCCCACAATTTATTATTGTGATAGCTGCACAATTCCATAAATATACTAAAAACCAATGAGCTATATAAATGGGTGATCTATATGATATGTGAATTATATCTCAGTTTAAAAAATTGATAACTTGTGTGATTAAAAAGCACTAATACTCAAAGCAGGAGACAACATACACACTGGAAATAAATTTGCAGTTCATATCATAGACAAAGCCTTTTTCCTTAATTTATAACAAACTCCTAGAAATCGATAAAAAGGAAAAAAGAACAGCCCAAAAGAAAAATATACAGAATGATATGAAAAGAAAATATTATAAATGTGTTTATAAACCATAAAAGTTTTTGTGGCACAAGTTTCTTTAACTTTGATGATGTTCAATTACACACACACACAAACTTATGCTTGTTTTTATTTATTTGTTGTTATTGTCTGGGTTTGTAATGTCATATCTAAGAAAGCTTTGCCTAACCCAAGGTTACAATGACTCACTCCTATGTTTTAGTGCTTACATTTAATTCTATGATTCATTTTGAATTCATTTCTGTACATGGTATAATGAAGGGAAATATTATTCTATATGTAGCCAAATTTAACAACATTTTATTATATGGTTTCTGAATTTTCATAATTAGAAAGGGCTTCTGCACCCCAAGATTATAAAGAAACTTGATGATTTCCTGAGGTACATTTACGGTTTTCCCTTTTTACATTTAAATCTTTGACTTCTTTATAATATATCCTAGTATACAGTGTGAGATACAAATCTAACTTTTATTTTCACTATGGCTACCCAGCTGTCCATTGTCATTTATTGAATAGTCCATCTTTTTCCCATTGATCTGAGGTTCCAATTTCATCATATATTCAAAAAAATATAAACAGGATAATAAAGTAAAATAAGTACAAATGGAAGCATAAATGTGCAAGGATAGACAAAGTAATAAGACTCTGAAAACAAATTGGCCTCATGCTATTATTTTGGGTAGAAGGAGATCTTTCACAACTTCCTCAATTTTGTTTCCATGGTTACTGGTCTAATTTAGGTTTACTATATCTTCTAAAATTAGTATTAGCCATTTTAATGTTCCCACAAAAACATTCATCTAGGTTTGCAAATGTATTGCAAGGGAATTCTACAAAGTACTTTCTGCTCATTTTTAAAAATGTCTTCATATTTGTAGTTATGCTCATTTTCTCATTCAAGACTTTATATTTTTACATTTTATTCCTTTATAATCTTTATTAGGTTTATATACCTATTTTATTTTCTTCTTCCAATAACACCTTCTTGTTTATTTGTCAAGTCTACAGGTTTTTGTTTTGTATTTTTTTTAGTTCATTAATTTCTGAATTTTTTTAACATTATTGATTTCCTTCACTTTCTTTTAGGTTTATTGTTCTTTTTCTAGTTCATTGACTTGAAAGCTCAATTCATTTATTTTTATTTTTAAATCTTTTTAAAGATTTTATTTATTTTTAGAGAGGGGAAGGGAGGGAGAAAGAGAGGGAGAGAAACATTGGTGTGCAAGAGAAACATCAATTGGTTGCCTCTCGCACGCCCCCAACTGGGAACCTGGACAGTGACCCAGGAATGTGCCCTGATTGGAATCGAACCAGCGACCTTTCATTTTCAGGGACAATGCCCAACCCACTGAGCCAGACCAACCAGCCAGGGCTCATTTACTTTTCTTTTATTTTTGGTTTTAAATTATTGTTTATTGAATTCACTGGGGTAACATTGGTTAATAAAATTATGTTTCAGGTGTACAATTCTATAATATTAATAACATCATCTATATATTGTATTGTGATTTAATTACCCTGGGTCAAGTCTCCATCCATCACCATTTATCCCCCCTTTACCCTCTTCTACCTCCCCATCCCTTTTCCCTCTGATAATCACCATATTGTTGTCTGTGTTTATGAGGGTTTTTTGGGGTTTTTTGCTTAATCCCATCAATTCATTTACTTTTAAATCTCATTTGTTTTATCCAGTCATATCGTCTGTACTTTATTCTACGTGATTTAAATATTACAAATAAATTGTATTATTTATAGAAAAAGAAAAAGAGAGAGGAGAAAGGGAGAAAGAGACAGGGAGAGTGAGAGAGAGAGAGATTGATTACAAAAAGAAAATGTTTCAAAAGCCAAAAGAATTGATCAGTGCCATAACTGAGATGAAGCAAGAGGCATTCACTTTGGATGCAAAATTTAAGCGGATGCCAAAAAAAAAAAAAATCTCAGTAATCAAGACACATAATATTTGGATACCTTACTTTGGAATATCAAATTTGAAAACTATGGCCTTCAGGCTAGCTGCTACTTTTGTAAATAAAGTTTTATTGGAACCAGGGCCAGGATTAGGGTAAGGTGAATGAGGCAAGGTTTAACAAGCGCAGGAGTGGATCTCATCTTTCTAAACAATCTTAATATTTTGTTCTAGATTTTTGTACTGATTTTGAGCTTTGAAAATACTGCTTTAAAATGTGTCTTGATTACTGAGCTTTTGGGTACTCCTTTAATTTTACACCCAAAGTGAGTTGCTTTACTTGCCTCACCCAAGATAGAGCCCTATGATTGACTCTTTGTGGCAGTGTAATGACTTTTTTCTATTTCTTTATATTTCTCTGCATTTTCCAAATTCTACCAATAAGTATCAATTACTTTGATCATCAGGAAAAAATAATTTAGAAAATACATCAAGACTTACTCAAAGTTGTTCTTTGTTGTTTCACTATGAGGCTTACAGGAAGTAAAAATTAATGTGCAGAAGGCCCTGGAGTTTCAAATGGCTTGATCCACCTTGTAATCAGAAGAGGAGAAATCAAGATGATGGAGGAGGGAGTGGAAGTCACACTGACCTCCTCCCAGGACCAATCTGGAATTACAACTAAATTGTGGAGAAATCACCTGGAACAAACAATTAAACTATAGCGAGAGAGAGGAGCCTTATAACCTCCAACTAACAGAAGAATCAGCTTTAGCACAACCTAACTTGTAAGGAGTGCGATAAAGACTCGAGAAGGTAGGCGGGGCACCCACGGGTGGCAGCACCAGATGATTAGTTGGATCCCCCTGAGAAGAGCAGGGTCTAAACCATAAGTGGGGATCTCCAGCGTATAGCACCAGAGCCCAAAAAGTACGCAGATCACAGCCAACTGCAAAAAACATCAGGGTTGCTCTCAGCTAGAGACAGGCGGCTGGAGACACAAAGAGTCATTTAAAGGGCCAACGCATAAATTTTTATTTGCAGCCACTTACCCTGGTCTCCAGCAAAGGCAGGGGCAGAGTGGACTAGAGACGCCTGAGGAGAGACTGGGGAAGGAGGCTTTGGAGAAAGAACTGAGAGATTAGCTGACGGAATCCCAGTGCTGACTCATTCTCCCTTTGGCAGCAGCCATCTTGCTCAGGCAGACCACACCCCTGAGTGCAAACAAAGTGGGAGGACACAATAGCCCTGCCGCCAGGAGGGACTCCGCCCTGCTGAGTATACACACTGGCAACCACAGAGAGTAGATCCCTGGCTAAAAGGGGTGCAGAGTGGTCTAGAGACTGTGGAGGAGAGACTGGAGATGGAGACTTTGGGGAGAGAATGGAGAGAGTAGCTGGCCAGATTCCGGTGCTGACTCCTCCCCCATAGGGCAGCAGCCATCTGGTTCAGGCAGACCACGCCCCTGAGCAGCAGTATCTTGACAGGACCCATTAACCCCGCCCCCAGGAGGGTGTTGACCCCACCCTGCGCTGTCTCTAAGTGGTCTGCTGAGTGCAGAGTGACTACATTAACAGCTGAAGGAGGCAGCCACAGACAGTAGATTCCTGGAAGTCTGGAACAGAGTGCCTGAGGTCAGACAGGTCAACATCTGACATCATCAGAGGCAGATCCAGAAAGAAAAAGAAAAGAAGCAGTCTCCTACCATAGAAGTTCACACCAGAAAGTCAGGAAATCAAGACAGATCAATTTAAGAAGCAGAAGCAAAAACAAACAAAAAAATGAATCTCACAAACAATGGCAAGACAAAGAAATACACCCCACTCGAAGGGAAAGGATGAATCCCCAGAAAGAGAATTAAATGAAAGAGGCAATTAAACTATCAGACACTGAGTTCCAAACAATGGTTCTAAGGAAGCTCAATGAGCTCAGGGAGCTCAGAGAGAATTACCAAAGACTACAGGGAAACTACGAGGAACTAGCTGCAAACCATATCACCATGAAAAAGGACATAAAAACTAACAATAAGCGACAAGAGGAAAGGAAGAATACCATTTCTGAATTGAAGAACACAGTAGAAGGAATCAAAAGCAGGCTAGATGAAGCCAAGGATCAAATCAGCGAGCTGGAGGATAAGGCAGAAAAAAGCTCCCAGAAAGAGCAAGAAAATGAAAAAAGACTCAAAAAGAATGAAGGGGCTTTTAGCAAAGTGCAGGACAACCTGCAACGTAATAATATCCGTATAATAGGGATACCAGAAGGAGAAGAATAGGAACAAGGGATAGAGATCCTGTTTGAAAAACTAGTGATGGAAAACTTCCCTAGTTTGAGGAGAGAAAAAAATCACACAAGTCCAGAAAGCACAGACGGTCCCATTCAAGAGGAACCCAGTGAGGCCCACTCCAAGACACATCATCGTGAAAATGGCAAATATCAAAGACAAGCAGAGAATCCTAAAGGAACCAAGGGAGAAAGAGGTAGTAACATACAAGGGAGCCCCAATATGGCTGTCAGCTGACTTCCCGACAAAAACACTACAAGACAGAAGGGAATGGCAAGAAATATTCCAAGTCATAAAAAGCAAAAGCATGCAAACAAGAGTGCTCTACCAAGCAAAGCTCTCAATTAAAATCGAAGGTGAAATAAGGAGTTTTCAAGACAAATGAAGGCTAAAAGAATACACCTCCACCAAACCAGCACTGCAAAATATGCTAAAGGGTCTGTTAAGAAGATGAAGAAAAAGAGTCTATGAATATCCACTTCCTTTCACAATTACCAATACTTGGTATTACCAATATTTTCAATTCTTAATCTGATTGTGACAATGATATGTTATTTTAATTTTCCCTTTATTATTTGTTGAAACTAAACCTGTTTTTGTATATTTCTTGCCTATTTATATTATTTTTAAAAAGTTTTAAATGATTTTTTGGTATTCTTTATCCATTTTTTAAATGTTTTTAGAATATTTTCCCTAAAAAAAGAAAAAAAAAAACTATTAACCCTTTTTAGATGTGTGGCAAATACTTGCCCATTCTATTACTTGTCTTTTAACTTTTTTATATGTATATTACTGTATAGTCTTAAATGTTTAATATGGTCATATTGTCAATATCTTACATTCTAGCTTCTGGGTTTGAATATTTACTTCAGGGTAAGAAAAATATTAGTTTGTATTTTCTCCTAAAACTCCTTAGATTTTACATATTGATTTTTACCTCATCTGAATATCTTTTGTATAATGTGTCATATAGGACTCTATTTGTTTTATTTCAAGTAATAGTGGCCCAGGCACCTCATTTATTGAATAAGCCTTATTTTCCTCATTGATTTGAAATATCAATTTAATCATATATTACATTGTTAGGCAGATATATACATTTGTTTCTAAAGTGCTATTATATTTCATTTATCTACTTGATTATTTCTGTGCTGGTGTCATGGTGTTTTAATTGCTGAGACTTTATAATGGACTTAAATTTTTTAATATTTTATAATGGATCTTGACATTTAAAATAAATAAATAAATAAATAAATAAAATCTGCATTAGAAAGAAAGAAAGAAAGAAAGAAAGAAAGAAAGAAAGAAAGAAAGAAAGAAAGAAAGAAAGAACTTCTACCTTTTGTGACAACATGGATGGAACTGGAGAATGTTAAGCTCAGTGAAATAAGCCACTCGGTGAAAGACATATACCATATGATCTCACCTATATGTGGGATCTATTCCAGAAAATAAACCACAGGCAAGGAAACATGGAGCAGACTGAAAGTGACCAGAGGGGATGGGGAAGGAGGACAATGATGGAAAGAAGAAGGGACTAAAGAAAGAACGTGTATGAATGACCCATGGACATGGACAACAGTGTAGGAATTGACTGTAGGCAAAGGGGGCGGGGTGGGATGAGTGTGGAGGCCAAAGGCAGAAAAATTGAGACAATTGTAATAGAATAAGCATGATTTTAAAATAAAAATAAGTAAATAAAGAAATATTAAAAAATAGCAGAAGAAGAAGAAGAAGAAGAAGAAGAAGAAGAAGAAGAAGAAGAAGAAGAAGAAGAAAGGTATTGTTTTGATGTAATTAAATTATCATGATCTGGGTTATCACAAACTTCCTACTGGCCAGCATCTAGGATTTGTGAGGAATAGAAGAGAAACAGGTTCAGAGCCAGTCCATTGGGAGAACCCTTAGCATGGTGCGGGAATGGGATTAAAGTAGGGGGACATCACGTGGATACCCAGCTGGCTCTATAGCAGGAAAACTATTCATCCTTACACAGTCCCACCTGGGCTGGGTTCACCACAGCAACAATTAGCTGCTCATCTGCCTTTGACTTGAGCAATGTGGCATAATCTTCTCTGCTTGAACAGCACAGAATTCACAGTTGGTGATGCCTGCAAAAGAGAGACCCACGTGACATAAATGAAAACTCATACCAACAGTGGGGTACAGGGAGCTTCAGCCTCATAGAAATGTTCAGGAGCCAGGGCTCTGTCATCTTCCTTTAGATATATCATACCTCTGAATAACAATGAAAGAAATGCTTTTGGAACTGCTTCATTTTTCCAGCGTGCTTTCCTTTGCAATATCTCAGTAGGCCTTTTAGCTTGAGAGGCTAGACAGTGTTATTTTACAACCTTGTGACTCACACATCACATTAGTACCTACACCAAGAAGAGAATTTTGACTTTTATTCAAGTGCTTTCTGTTACATTGAAGGTTTTCACCCAGAGCCTCAGAAGTAGTTTGAGGTGGAGGGACAAAGGGATCTGTTCTCTACATTGCAATTTGACATGAGATTTTGTTTGAAGAAAAGGTTGCTAAAAATAGTTTGAAACCTATCATATTGTATTATCCTATGATGCTTCACGAGACCAATGTCAAGAAGGTTCTTCTATATTATCCAAAGTTTTGCCAAGTTCCCTGCCTATCAATTACACTCATTTCCTCCCTCAGGCTTTGCTTCTGGATAGGAAAAAAAAAAAATAGCTATTTGGATCTCTTTCAGAAAACCATGGACTCACCTCTGACCACTCCAGAACACGATCCCTTCCTCCCCACAGGTCATGGATATAGTGGATGCCATTTCCCACACAAACCCTGTTCATAGCTCAGAAACAACTGCAGCTCTTGATTTCTCCCCAGACGGTGAGCAATGTGCCATTGAAGGCTACAGTCCACCTGGCATCCTCTACCACCGGCTCTACCAACTCAAGTCCAAGGACCTTGGAGGTATACTGAGCCAGAGGAAGACCAACAACACTTGGAGCAGTAAGAGGAAAAAAGAGGATATTTTAGGGTTTTAAGCTGATGAGGTTATGCCTGCACCACTACCATCACCTCCCCATCCAGGACTCTATCTGCTGGGTGAATGGAATCTGGGAGCTAAGCAACACATAGATTCAGCCCTGGAGTGCTACTTCCCAGTTCTACAGCAGATGTCAAGGAGGATGATGTTAGAGTTCACTCCACTCAGCTTCTCCACAGTCCAACACAGCATCTCTGCACCAGCAGTGTTAATCTGGAAAAAGGCATCTGAAGAGATGCCGATCTTCAAGCCCAAGAATTCTTAGAAGATATGAGGTTCCCCACACAGGAGCTGGAAGGTGGGCTGGTGATGGATACAATGAGTCATGGTGCTGGAAAAAGAATAAAAGAAGAAAGCATCTTGCAATGACAAACCATTCTATCTCTAGTGGTTGGTTGGACAGAGAGGTCCCAGCATCTCATCTGGGAGACACAGCATCTATGGAATGGCCCTGAGAACTCTGAAGGACTTCCCAGGGGATGGAGGTACATGCAGATATTCTCTCATCTACCGCCTGGCCTGTGTTCCTGAATATGGGTAGTGTATGAGGGCCAATCCCATTTAGCACAGGTCCTCCATAAACACCATCCCTACCTCACCAATCCATGGCCCAGACTATGGCAAGCCATCAGCTTCCTGCTTGCTGTTTGACTGTCCCAGGTTTACCTTTTCTGAAAGTAAAGTGATGTCAAGTCACAAACTACTTCTGGCCCTTTGATTAAAAACTCCTTTACAGCCTCCTTCTGAACACAGAGCTCCTCTGGCCCAGACCACAAAATGCAGGAGTCAAGCAAAGACTCATCTGTGACAAATTTTCTCTCCTAGCTCTACAGTAATCAGCCCTGCAGTAGTCAAATAAGAAAGCACATGTCTGCCCTGCCCAGGTGGCTCAGTTGGTTGGAACATCATCCCATATACAAAAAGGTTGCTGGTTTGATGCCCAGTCAGAGCACATACCTAGGTTGTGAGTTCAGTCCCCAGCTGGGGCATGTATGGGAGGCAATTGGTAGATGTTTTTGTCTCACACCTCTCTTTCTCTCTCTCTCTGTCTCTCTTTCTCTCCCCTCACCTTCCACTCTTTCTAAAATCAATTTAAAAGTATACCCTCAGGTGAGGATAGAAAAAAAAAGAAGGCACATTCTCTAAAGAAAATGTGTTATTCTTGTTCTAAACAGAAGCTAAACTAAGCTTTTGTCCCATCATGAGGAAGCAATAACATTTCAATTCCCTTCATATTTATCCACTTCAAATATCCCACCCACCCACCCAAACACCACCTCACAGGACACAAGTGCTAGATGAAAAGTCCTAGGAAGAGAATGAGTATTTTTAAAATTCCTACATTACTACAGAAAGCGTGACCATTAGCTTGATGCAGGGATATATCAAAGTAAACTATGTTGTAACTATAGAGTTAAAAGGCCAGGATTCAAGCCTTAGCTTTGCTATATCCTGGTTATTTAACCTTGGATACTTCTAGGCCTCCATTTACCCATCTGTGAAATGAGGATGACAATACCTCTCCTTCTCCCATCTACTTCACAAGTTTGTTGAGATGATCACATAAGTATAGAAATGATTTAATGTGTGAATGTTTGATAGCTCCATATGCATTACAAATGTCAAGTAGTATTTGGGTTATTAAATTCTGACGTACATCCTAATCTCTATTAAATTGGTTTTTGGATTTAGTAGAGCACGCATTAACTTCCATGGACAAAGTTCTTGTGAAAATACTTAAGGGTCCTCACAGGATAATTAACTTGGTAATGTCACCTCAGTATCTGTGGTTTGATTATGCCAGCAGCATGGTTAAAGAGTATCCTTGCCATTTCCTCCCTTTCACCCCCAACCCCTCTTCCCATCCCATACAGATATTCAGTGGAAGTGTAGATTCGCCTATCTGTCCTGAAACTTTCAAAAATCACTCTAGCATGGTAATACGAATGGTTGCTACTGAAGCTGCTCCTTAGCATCCTGTGAGTCTCATCTGCTTTAATTCCAGGGGATGGAAAATAATGATGGTCATTGTGTACCCTTGGCTATTAGTGTGGACAGTGAGCTCACGCCAGTGTCCACCTTCGTGAAACAGGAGGCAGGGCTCCATTGCAGACTGTCAAAGGAATAATTCATAGTACTAAGAAGAAAACAATATTCTTACACAGGCAAAAGTAACAAGTTCCACAGTTGATTATCCATGCTGGGTGATTGTTATGGGCTGTATTGTACCTACTACCCCCCAAAATTCATATAATCACACTCTAAGCCCCAGTTCCTCAGAATGTGACTGCAATTGGAGATAAGGTCTTTAAAGAGATGATTAAGTCAAATGAGGTCATTAGGGTGGGCCCTAATCTAATCTGACTGGTATCCTTGTAAGAAAAATAAATTTCGACACACAAAGATACAATAGGATGCATACACAGAGGAAAAATGATGTGAAAACACACTGAGATTATGGCTGTCTCCAAGCTAAGGAGAGAGGCCTCAGAAGAAATCAAGATGCCAACATCTTGATCTTGGACGTTGCCCATAGAACTGTGAGAAAATAAATTTATGTTGTTTAAGCCACCTAGTCTGTGGTATTTTGTTATGGCAGCCTTAGAAGACTAATACAGAAATATGAGAAACATTTCCCCTGCCCTTTGACCTTACAGATTGCATGAAGGTTTAGAGCTATATCCTTAGTCTGGCACATAATAGTTGCCCAATAATTATCTTTGAAAGAAGGCATAAATGAACAGAAAAGGTATTTTATTTGTATGTACAATCTCAGGTTATTATATATATAGTATGGAAGACAATAATCTTCCATTTCTGTGAATTTCTCCTGGCAGCAATACCTAATATACTACTCAGTTGCTATGATTCTATTCCTACCTATAACTTCATGATATAAGCCCATCTTGTCTATATTTCTTCATATAACCAGGTGCCAACTATAGCATAGTTCAGTCAGTTCTGTCTTTTCCTCCTGGTGAACACAAGTCAAATGAAATCCTGATTTATTCACACACGAGCTTGTTGCTACCACAACAACACCCTGTCTGATTTCCTAGGTCCCATTGTTTTTATAATACATAATCTAGGTCCACTGTATTTTCAAACAATCCCAAAATTACACATAGAAGAGGGAGTTACAGCAAAAAATAGTGCTGCCTTCGAGGGTAAAATCAATTAAGGTTACACTTGATCAATTTAGCTATAATTTCACACAAATGCAATATTAGATATGCCTAACTATACTGAATATATTTTTGAAATTTTGAGATTGGTGATTTAAAGAAAAACTGGTTCTACTGGCTGGTGGGCAAAGAATGTTTCTTGGAAACAAGACTCAAATATCACTGAATTCCTGGAAGGATGGGAAATTGAAAAACTGAGCCATACCTGGAAAATAATGGGTAAGTTTGAACTGCACAGGTCCACTTATACACACATTCATTTCAGTAAGTATGTACAGTACTGTAAATGTATTTTTTCGTCCTTATGATTTTCTTTTTTATATAAGAATTTGTTCAGGTTTTTTTTTTGCATTCTTATTTTATTTTTTATTCTTTTTTAATTTAATTTTAGTTTATTTTTTTCAAATACATATGTCTCTGCCTAACCCCCACCACTTTCCCTTGCCCCCTCCCTCCTTCCCTCCCTCAGCTCCTCTCCTTTGGTTTTGTCCATGAGTCATTCCTATGTGTTCCTTGACTTTCCCTTTCCCTTCCTTTTCCCCTGCCCCCACTCCTTCCCTCTTGTCTCTGTTGATTTCTTTACCTTTCAGTGTTGCTGGTCTTCTTTTCCTTGCATCTTTGTATTGTTGGATAGGTTCCGCTTATAGGTGAGATAATATGGTATTTGTCTTTCTCCCACTGGCTTATTTCGCTTGGCATAATGCTCTCCAGTTCCATCCATGCTGTCGCGAAGTTTAGTAGTTCTTCTTTTTTCTGCTGCATAGTATTCCATTGTGTCTATGTACCATAACTGTTTGATCCAATCATCTACTGATGGGCATATAGGTTGTTTCCAACACTTGGCTATTGTCAATTGTGCTGCTATGAACATTGGGGTGCATAGGTTCTTTTGTATTGGCGTTTTGGTGTTCTTAGGGTATAGTCCCAGCAGGGGAATCACTGGATCAAAAGGCAGGTCCATTTTTAGCTGTTTGAGGAAATTCCACACTGCTTTCCACAGTGGCTGCACCAGTCTGCATTCCCACCAACAGTTTACTAGGATTCCCTTTTCTCCACAGCCTCGCCAGCACCTGTTGTTTGTGGATCTGTTTATCATGGCCATTCTGACTGGTGTGAGGTGGTACCTCATGGTGGTTTTGATCTGCATTTCTCTGATGGCTAGTGATGCTAAGCATCCTTCCAAATGCCTCTGGGCCCTCTGTATCTCCTCCTTCGAAAAGCATCTGCCCAGGTCCTTTGCCCATTTTTTCATTGGATCTTTTGTCTTCTTGGAGTGGAGTCGAGTGAGTTCTTTATATATCTTGGAGATCAAACCTCTATCTGATGTATCATTAGCGAATATATTTTCCCATATGGTGGGCTCCCTTTTCATTTTCCTGATGTTTTCTTTAGCCGTGCAGAAGCTTCTTATTTTGATGAGGTCCCACTTGTTTATTCTTTACTTTATATCCTTTGCTATAGAAGACATATCAGTGAAAAAATTGCTGCGTGGGATATCTGAGAGTTCCCTGCCAATGTTCTCCTCTAGGACTTTGATGGTGTTGTGACGTATATGCAAGTCTTTTATCCATCTTTATTTTATTTTTGTGTATGGTGTCAGCTGAGGATCCAATTTCAATTTTTTGCATGTAGCCATCCAGCTCTCCCAACACCATTTGTTGAAGAGGCTATTATTGCTCCATTTTATGCTTCTGCCCCCTTTGTCAAATATTAGATGCCCAAAGAGACCTGGGCTTATTCTGTTCCACTGGTCTATGGGTCTGTTCTTCTGCCAGTACCAGATTGTTTTGAGTATAGTGGCTTTGTAGTAGAGTTTGATGTCCGGTATTGTGATCCCTCCTACTTTGTTTTCCTTTCGCAAAATTGCTGTGGCTATTTGGGGTCCTTTATGGTCCATATAAATTTTTGAAATGTCTGTTCTATTTCTGTGAAATACGTCATTGGTATCTTAATAGGGATTGCATTGAATCTATAAATTGCTTTGGGTAGTTGGACATTTTGATGATATTAAATCTTCCAATCCATGAGCACGGTATATGCTTCTATTGATTTGTGTCTTACTTAATTTCTTTTTTCAATGCTGTATAGTTTTCTGTGTACAGGACTTTTACGTCTTTGGTTAAATTTATGCCTAGGTACTTTATTTTTCTTCTTGCTATATCGATTGGTACTTTTTTTTCTGATTTTTTCTTCTTCTATTGCATTGCTGGTATACAAAAATGCCTTTGATTTCTGAATGTTCACTTTCTATCCTGCTGTTTTGCCAAATTCACTTATTAGGTGGAGGAGTTTTTTGGTAGAGTCTACAGGGTTCTCTATGTACACTACCATGTCATGTGCAAACAATGATAGCTTTACTTCCTCCTTTCCTATTTGGATGCTTTTTATCTCTTTCTCTTGTCTGACTGCTGTGGCTAGGACTTCCAATACGATGTTGAAAAGAAGCGGTGAGAGGGGACATGCTTATCCTGTTCCCGATCTTAGGGGGAAAGCTTTCAGTTTTTGCCCATTGAGTATGATATTGGCTGTAGGTTTTTCATATATGGCCCTTATTATGTTGAGGAATGCCCCATTTATTCCCATTTTGCTGAGTGTTTTGATCATAAATGGGTGCTGTACCTTATCAAATGCTTTTTCTGCATCTATCGAGATGATCATGTGGTTTTTGTCTTTTCTTTTATTTATGTGACGTATCACGTTTCTGATTTGTGTATATTGAAACATCCCTGCATCCCTGGGATGAATCCCACTTGATCGTGGTGGATAATCTTTTGAATGTATTGCTGGATGCGGTTTGCCAATATTTTGTTGAGGATTTTAGCGTCTATGTTCATCAGCGAAATTGGCCTGTAGTTTTCTTTCTTTTTAGGGCCTTTATCTGGTTTTGGGATCAGGGTGATGCTGGCCTCATAGAAAGAGTCTGGGAGTCTTCCCTCCTCTTGGATTTTTTGTAATAGTCTGAGAAGGACAGGGGTTAGCTCTTCCTTAAATGTTTTGTAAAATTCTCCTGTGAAACTGTCCGGCCCTGGGCTTTTGTGTGTCTGGAGTTTCTTGATTATTGCTTCCATTTCCCCAGCTGTTATTGGTCCGTTCAAGCTTTCTGTTTCTTCCTCCTTCAGTGTTGGAAAATTACACTGTCTAAAAATTTGTCCATTTCATCAAGATTTTCAAATTTCTTGGCATATAACTGTCCATAGTAATTTCTGACGATCCTTTGTATTTCTGTGGTATCACTGGTTATTTCTCCTCTTTCATTTCTGATATTAATTTGGGTCCTCTCCTTTTTTTTCTTGATGAGTCTGCTTAAAGGCTTGTCAATTTTATTTATCTTTTCAAAGAACCAACTTGTGGATTGGTTGATCCTCTGAATTGTTTATTTATTTTTGTCTCTATGTCATTCAGTTCTGCTCTAATCTTAACTATTTCCTTCCTTCTACTGGCTCTGGGATTTATTTGTTGTTGTTTCTCCAGTTCTTGAAGTTGTAGTGTTAGGTTTTATTTGAAATGTTTCTATCTTTTTAAGGTAAGCCTGTATTGCTATGAACTTCCCCCTCAGGACCGCCTTTGCAGTGTCCAATAGGTTTTGGACTGTTGTCTGTTCATTTTCATTTGTTTCCAGAAATTTTTTCATTTCTTCCCTTATCTCATTATTGACCCATTCATTGTTTTATAGTCTACTGTACAATCTCCATGAGTTTGCAAGTTTTTGAAGTTTCTCTTTGAGGTTGATTTCCAGTTTCAATCCCTTGTGGTCCGAGAAAAATTTTGGTATTATTTCAATTTTCCCGAATTTGCTGAGGCTTGCTTTGTGATCTATCATGTGGTCTATCTTTGAAAAACTGCCATGAGCATTTGAAAAGAATGTGCATTTTTCTTCTTTGGGATGTAAGGTTCTATATATGTCAGTTATGTCTCTTTGATTCTGTGGGTCATTCAGTGCCACAATATGTTT